GGTTCTGGTTGGTTCCAGCCGGGGTGGCTGCAGTGGAGTCTGTGAGAAGAAAGAGGCTGGGGGCTGGGCGGGCCTTCAGCCGAGCTCAGGGCTGCAGACCCCAGGGGGTGGCGTCTGCAGCCAGGGCTGCTGGGGGGACCCGTGGCTGGGGGCACCTGTGTGACCTCAAGCTGGGCAGCTGTCCCCTCCTCCTGCCACCCCTGCAGGGGCCGGCCTTGGTAGCCAGGCACCCTTCCTCTCATTTACTCTTTCTTTTCCTTCTCCGGACCCCCCTCCTCTTTCCTCGTCCCATCCCCTCCTCCTCTCCCTCCTCCCCACTGGCTCCGGTCCATCCATTCCCGTCCACCCGGCAAAACAGGGCAGCCTTCCTTCCTCTGCTTGGCTTGGCGGGGCTCCAGCCACGGCCTGGACCATTGCGTGTTGCCGCCTCAAGGTCACTCCCAGCCTCCTCCTGGCCCTCCCTGTTACCTGCGCCGGCGGTTGGGGGCAAGGGGCTACAAGAGGCAGAGGCACCCCTGACGGAGCCGTGTCTGCACCCCCACCTGGGGGAGCTCTGTGGGGGGAGCAGTGAGCACAGTGCCCTGCCCTTCTCCGGACCAGATCCTGGCCCTGCGCCCCCTGGCTGGCTGACCCTCCCCTCCCCTCCCCGCCTCCCCCTCTCTTTGTGACCTATTTCCCTTGTTTCAAGTCCCCCACAGCTTCCCAGCTGACAAAGTCACCCACACAGTTACAAATTCAGCTCCCGGACTCTTCCCTGGAGATGCAGATTCCTGGGGTCCAGACAGGTGGCTCAGGCCGCACAATTACAAATAATATGTATGAGGGTCAGCGTGGTGGCAAAGCTCGTAAAGCTGCCTTCTGAAGCACCGGCATCCCATACAGGTGCCGGTTCAAGTCCCGGCTGTTCCACTTCCAATGCCGCTCCCTACCGTTATTCCTGGGAAAGCAAGAGGATGGCCCAGGTGCTTGGGCTCCTGCACCCACATAGGAGAGGAAGCTTCTACCTGGTCCAGTCCTGGCCCTGGGGGCTACCTAGGGGGTGACCAGTGAGTGGAAGACCCCTCCCTGTATACATATATAACTGCCTTTCAAATAGATAAAGTACATTTTAAAGAGAAAAAAGAAACAGAGCTGCAGAGACTTGAACCCTTGATGGGTGCCCATGTGTCGCAGGTGTCATGTGCTTCCTCCAAGTGTCTCGCAGGGAAATGGCCGGCTTAACTGGGAGCCTGTGCCCGGGGACCCTGCCCAGCAGAAGAACCAGCCCCGCAGGTCGCGGACCAGCCCCTCCCGCACTGCCAGCGGCTCGGTGGGGGTGGGGCGAGGTCTGCAGCTTTCCGAGCCTCCTCTTCCTCACGCGGGCAGTGGAGTTCTCAGAGCCCATTTGCGTAGGCACGGTGGCGGTTCTTTCTGGGGCCGGTCCAGAGGCCACCTGAGCCGGTCCGTCCTGGGACAGGGCATCTGCCCGACCTAGAAACCTGAGCCGCCTCCTCCTCCTCCTCGCCTCCTCCCGCTGGCCTCTTTCTGTGCAGGCTGTGTAGCTGGGCAGTGGGGACCCTGGCACCCTGCTTCTCCCAGCTTGGGAGTCCATGAGGATTTCATTTTGTCCATCTGGGGCTGCAGGCCTTCCTTCCAAGGCCCCCTCCCAGATCTCTTCCCTCCACCTTTCTCAGTGCCTGAACTCTGAGGTGATCTGGGGAGCAATCACAACCTCCCTTGTCCTGGGTGGTGGGGAGTGTAAGAGGGAGCCAGTGTGGGGGTCTGTGCCATGGCTCAACAGGCTGACCTTCCATCTTCAAGTGCCAGGATTCCATAAGGGCACCAGTTCTAATCCCACCTGCTCCACTTTCCATCCAGCTCCCTGCTTGTGGCCTGGGAAAGCAGTCAAGGACGGTCCAAAGCCTTGGGACCCTGCACCTGTGTGGGAGACCTGGAAGAAGCTCCTGACTTTGGGTCTGCTCAGCTCAGCTCTGGCCAGCTGGGGAGTGAACCAGCCAATGGAGGAGCTATTTGTTTCTCCTCTCTGTAAATCTGCCCTTCTAATATAAATAAATAAATATTTTGCGGGGGGATGAGAGAGATGGCTAGTTGGGAGTGGGGATTGTTGGATGGGATCTGGTGAAAGTGGCTGTAAATGTGGCCCTGGCTTGAGGCTTTTTTTGGGAGGAATCTATGTTTTTTTTTCTTTTTTGTCCTTTTTCTACTTCTTGCTGGGATGTAGATGAGGTAGCTGCAGCGTCAGCAGCCACATTGCATGTTGGAGTGAGAGAAGGCAAGGCCACGTTACTGCTGACGGCACAGACAGAAGCAGTTGTACTGTTGATGGTTCTGAGCTGTGGGTTTTTGTTTGTTTTTTTTTTTTTTAGTAGTGGAAAGCTTGCTTTGCTTCTTTTCTTGCTCTTGCACTCCTCATAAGTGTTTTAAGCTATCATTTTTCTTCCCAGCGTAGCTTTGGCCACATCCCCTGGGTTTGGAATATACCATTTTTTCCCCTCTCGTTTGATTCTGGTTAATATCTTGCATTGTGATTCCCTCTTTCAGGAATTCTGATCCAGTAAACGGAATTTTGGGGGTGGGAGTGGGAAGCGGATTCATACCACTTGGATTGATGTCTTTGACTGTGGGGTCATTGCTTTCAATGCTGTCCTGTTAGTCTGCGTGTGAACTTGGATTTGAAGCTGGGGCTCCTAGCCTTTTGTGGAATGGTTTGGAAGAACCTGGGTACCCCAAGAGTATACCATTTTGCTGGTGGACTAGCTAACATGTTGGTGCGCTCCTAAGCCAGTGTGTCATGACAAGCCAGGCTTTACAACCATCCCGGAGGTGTGTCACCACCCAAGTCGTCAGGCCTGACATGTCCTTCCATCCTGCCCACGACTGTCCTTGCTTATCCCAAGGATGGACCTTGCCAGCACCGAGCATCTCTCCCTGCTTGGTTCAGACTCTGCTGGGGAGAAGGCAGGATGCTCCTAGGGGCCCACCCCTCTAGCCCTTGTCACCCCTTCTTGGGGACCCACCCTTCTAGCCCTTGTCACGCCTGTCTTCTATCCCTGTACACTCCTGTATTCTTGGGTCTCGCTCTTTGTGTCACTGGAGGAGGGGGGGATGTTGTAGTTGTGGGGTGTCTGTGAGGGGCACGGGGGCTGGGGTCTCATGATCTGGTGGGGTTGGTTGGGGGAGGAGAGGTCACACACACACCAACACGTGCATTAATCCAGACCTTTATGGCCAGCACGGTTGTCTCACAGCTCCATGGAGGAGAAAGGCCCGCATGCGCTAACTCTAGGGTGGGCGTGCATGTACAGCAGGCTGCGTCCTGGCTGGCTGGACCTGGCTGGTGGTCAGTGACTCTGGCTCCCCGGCGAGGATGCTGTGGGCTCTTCTCACTGGGCGAGGTGCTCCAGGGCCTTGTGGCTACTCCAGAGCTGCTGGAGGACATGGGGCAAGGAGATGAAGAAGGTCATTAGGGTTGGGGGAACAGTGAGCAGGGCAGAGGGGGGTATCCCCGAGCCCATGGCCCAGCCCCACCCTCCCAACCCCACGCTCAGCCTGTGCTGGGTTCAGGTTCAGGAAGGTGACGTTGGTCCTCCGGCGAGGGAGGGAAGGTGACTGCGAGGAGAGACATAGGGTGAAGAACCAGTCCCGGCCATCCAAGGCCCAGGGCCCCCCCCCCGCAGGCCGCAGGCCCCGGTGGACAGGGCTGGTTAGGGGGTGGGGCGTTACGGCTGTCAGACATAGGCTGAGTCCCTACGCCTGGAGACTGCCAATCTGAGGGGGGAATCACTGTCATTGACTTGGAGATATGGCTTTGGAGAGTACCTAGTCAGAGGGGCGAAGAAGACTCTAACTCCCCATGTCTAGGGGCTCCTTGTCCAAAGAGCCCTGGCCTTGCCTCAAAAACATGGACTCTCAGCCCATTGGGAGCTCCCAGTCTGATGGAGGAGGCATGGTCCCTGACTGTGGGAGCTCCCAGTCTGATGGAGGAGACACGGTCCCTGACTGTGGGAGCTCCCAGTCTGATGGAGGAGACACAGTCCCTGATTCTGGGAGCTCCCAGTCTGATGGAGGAGACACGGTCCCTGACTGTGGGAGCTCCCAGTCTGATGGAGGAGACACGGTCCCTGACTCTGGGAGCTCCCAGTCTGATGGAGGAGACGCGGTCCCTGACTCTGGGAGCTCCCAGTCTGATGGAGGAGACCTGGCCCCCTTGACTGTGGGAGCTCCCAGTCTGATGGAGGAGACGCGGTCCCTGACTGTGGGAGCTCCCAGTCTGATGGAGGAGACACGGTCCCTGACTCTGGGAGCTCCCAGTCTGATGGAGGAGACGCGGTCCCTGACTCTGGGAGCTCCCAGTCTGATGGAGGAGACCTGGCCCCCTTGACTGTGGGAGCTCCCAGTCTGATGGAGGAGACGCGGTCCCTGACTGTGGGAGCTCCCAGTCTGATGGAGGAGACACGGTCCCTGACTCTGGGAGCTCCCACTCTGATGGAACAGACACAGTTCCCTCATTTTAAAGTATCAGGCTGATGGAAATCATTTTTCGTTCAGTTAGAATAGACTCAGCATGTGTGGGAGACATCTGTCTATTCCCTGTGACAGCAAGGTGGAGCCCCGGCCCCCGTGCCCAGGATCCCTGAGTCTAACAGGGGAGCCACACACCCTTCATTAGCCCATGTCCCCAGCGAGAGGGGAGAGAGGCAATACTGCCTGGGTTCTGGGGTTTGCCTGTCTATTGGAAAAAGGGCCCCCCCCCCCCACTGGACCAGGTGCCTCTTCTGGAACTCTGATGTCCCCATTGTGTTTGCGGATGTCCTCTGTAGTAGCCCTCCGTCTGATGGAGGAGGCCTGCTCCCCCTGGCCTAGGTCAGCAGCCTGACAGAGGAGGGTCCTGCTCAAGGACCCTTACGTGGGGCCGAGGTCATGAAGGACCCTCTTTCAAGTCTGATGGGGGAGGCACACCTCGGGTTGCACGGCCCATCCCCTCCCTCCCACACACTCACGGGCCACCTGCAGCTCCACCTCCAGGGTATCCGTCTTGCCCTGCAGCGTCACGGTCTTGAGCGTGTAGCGGCCGGCGTCCGTGAGGTTCAGCTTCTGCACCAGCAGCGAGCAGTTGGCGAAGCCCACCTCGCGGCCCGTGTGCGCAGGGCCGGAGATCCAGTTCCCCGAGGGCAGCTGGCTGAGCAGCCGGTTGGGCTCCGAGGCGGCCCCACGGTACCAGGCATAGACCAGCAGGTCCTTGGGGTAGCCCTGCACCGTGAGTGTCACATCCTGGCCCTCGGCTGGTTTGCTGGGTACTGGCACGATCATCATGGCCACGACTGCCGCTGTGGGGAGTGGGCAGGGGAGAGGGGGAGCGGTTAGCAGGGCCGCCCTGGGGGTGGCATCCCCTCCCACCCCTCCGGCTGGATCACCTATGCCTCCCCCAGCTGGCAGGCGCTCCCCGTCGGGGGGAGGGGGCGCTGGGAAGGAGACAGAGGAAGGAAGTGACTTGTGTCGTAGTATAGGGGTGCTTGCTTGTCCCCGTGGACTCTGGGCTCCCCGCTCACACTAGTCATTTCCAACCTTCCAGAAAGTGTTTCTCCTATGAAAGGCCCCAGAGGGCCGGGCCATGTCTCCTCCATCAGATTAGAAGTTTCCAAAAGAAAGGGACCATGTCTCCCCGCTGTTAGGTTGGAAATTCCAGAATGGAGCGGGGGTCATGTCCACCCCATCAGATAGAGGGGAGTTGTGCCTCCCGGGGTATGTCAGAGCCAGAGCCCTCAGGAAGTGGGGGCTGGAGCTCCCCCTCTAGAAAGTGGGGGAAGCTAGGTCTCCTCCATCAGAGTAGGAATTCCTGTAAGGTGTGTGTGTGTGTGTGTGTGAGAGACAGAGATGTCTCCTCCATCAGATTAGGACATCTCACATGTGGGCGTGGCAGTTTTTGCTTCTCCCGGAAGTCCAGGGAACATGCCTGGCACACATAGCTCAACATCGAAACTAGACAGTGGTGGCCTTGTACTCTCGCTCCCCCAGCAGATTGGGAGTGTCCCAGAGGTGGGAACGGTGTCTCCTCCATCAGACTGGGACCTCTCAGAAATTAGGATTGTGTCTCCTCCAAGAATGAAAATCCCCACCCCCACCCGCTCCCCGGCATCACACAGGCTGTGCCTCCTCTGTCTGACCGGAAGCAGGTTGAGCGTCGCTGTCAAGCCTCCCCCACCGCTCCTTAGCCTCATCTCTTTGATTGGCTGCTCCTTGAAGAAGGGGTGGGCCTCCCTGGGGGACGGGGCAGTCTCCCCTTCCTCTGTCTCTCTCCTATGCCTGCCGCGGGGCCCCCAATAGTTCAGGAGGCACGTACCTGTGTGCCTGGGAGATGCCACCCGTGTCAGCCTGCACAGGTGGGACTCAGGGGCACCTGAGGTCATCTGGTCCACCCCCTGCCTCCTGCCAAGGCCCGCCACCCTGAGCAGCAAGTGCACTTACCTCTGGGGATGCCATTTCTGCTTGTGGGTCCCCTTTGCGTGGGAACCAGCCTGTGTGGGGGAGCGAAGGAGGGAGGGGCCGGGGGAGGGGGAGGTGGTCCTTCCGCAAGGGCCGAGGCCACCTGAGTGGAAGGGAACCCAGGCAGAATGAGCCGCATCCCCAGGGGCCCGGCCTGTGTCCTCTCCAGGGATGCCACTAGCGGCTGTGGCTGGGGCCAGGAGGCGGTGCTGCTGGCTGTGTTTTTCCATTTCCCAAAGAGGGGTAGTGATGGCATTGCCGGCGTGTGTGCCCCCGACAGACAGGCCTTCCAGCCGGCAGCAGAGCTGTGTAGCCAGCCCTGTGGCAATGGGGGGGCCCTGTGGCTCAGGCTCCCCTTGTGGTTGGCGGCGGAAGCTGAGGCAGCAGTGCCACCCCACACCAGGGGGCCCCTCTGTCACCCTTCTAGGATGTGCGTTTACCCGGGGCTAGGGCACCTCTTGCACCGGGGTGCAGGGGGCATGGGCGGGTGGTGGCCTCCCCAGGGCTGTGCCGACTCACCGGAGAGCCTGACCACTACGGAGGCCGAGCCGGACAGCAGGGTCTTGGGGTTCTTGGCGATGCAGGTGTAGGTACCCTCGTGGGCGGCTGTCATGGCGCTGATGTTGAGGTGGTCCCGGCCGTCGTTGAGTGCCCGCCCGTTGAGGGCCCACATGTACTCGGGCTCGGGGCAGGAGCGGGCCACGCACCACAGCGTGAGCGATGTGTTGAAGTCCACTTTGATGGTGCAGCCTGTGCGGGCGGTGGAGTCCTGCAGGATGGCCACGCGCTCCGGGCCAACTGTGGGGGCGGCAGGGCGAGAGACACGGGGCGGTGGGGGGAGGGGACCCTCCCTGGCTGGGGTGGGGAGGTAGGGAGGGTCTCTGGGGAGATCGATGGGAATGGGGGTGTCTCAGGAATGGGAGAGGAAGAGGCCTGACTCCTGTGACTGTGATAGGCTTTGAAAGCAGGTGGGAGCGGGTGGCCAGGGGCGTCTCAGGTTGCCCCTCCGTGGAAGGGGTACAGTGGACCCTGAAAGATGCCTCCTGGAGTCCTGCTTGCTGGAGCCCTTAGCTTCTGGGTGTACAGGCTTCTGAGAGCTCAGGCTTTGAACCTTTAGGACCAGAGGCTAAGGAAGGTCCTAAGTCTCTCCCTGTCTAGATGCCAGAATCCCTTGCTTGTCGGGTTCTGGGTCCCCCTTTCCCCTCTGTCTCTCTGCTGTTCTTACATCTCTGGCCCCAACCTGAGCTTCAGGGACACCCCACTCAGATGCACCTGCTGCCCACGGGAACCACTGCATGCTTGCTCGGGCCAGGTGTTTGGTTTCCCAGCATCCCTTGCGGCACGTGCCAACTCCAGGTCTTTTCTCCTAACTGCCATGTTAGCGTCACATCTTAGAAGAGGGACCCCTGATCCCAGACCCCTCATTCCTTGACTCAGCCACGCCCCGTGTGTGTGTGTGTGTGTTGGAGGGGAGACGTTGCTGGGGCACTCACAGTACACGGTCAGGTTGATGGGCTCACTGCGGCTCACACTGACTGGATTCCACACCTCACACTGGTAGGCTCCCGCCTCCTCCCGGCGGACACCGTGCCGGCTCAGCACCCTGCCGTCGGGCGACAGGCTGAGGCGCAGGGCTATGGGCAGGGCTTCGCCATTGAAGAACCAGCGGACTTCGGCCGGGCTAGGGCTGCTGCACACGAGGCGGAGGGTGTCCCGTCGTTCCACCAGCTCCGTGCTGTTGGCCACCACGGTGGGCTGGGCCAGGATCTCTGTGGGGGCGAGAGGCAGAGGGGGAGGGGGCCAGGCACTGGGCCTGCTCTGGGCTCCTCTGACCCGCCCGCCCCCAGGCCAAGGCAGTAGCCGGAGGAATGAGGAGTGAGGTTAAGAGGTAGTGTTAATCCCCGGGTCCATCCTGGTGGAGGCGGGCCTCACAAGGGCATCTCAGGTCTGTTTTTAGGATTTTGTTTGAGAGGGGGGAAAGGGGCGGATGAGGAGGGAGGAAGGTGGGGAGACTTGGCTGGGGTGGGGGTGCAGGGGGTGTCTCACCATAGACCCGCATGTGTCCGTAGCCCACCTCTGTCTGCAGCTGTCGGTTGAGGGTCTGCAGGATGTAGGTGCCTGTGTGCCTGGGCAGCACGCCCTGGATGTCCAGGCCGCCGTCGGGACGCACGGCCTCCCGGCCCGTGTGGGCAGGGCCTGGCGTCTCATCGCCTGTGCTCACGATATAGCTGGCCACCAGGTAGGACAGGCTGAGCGTGGGCCCCGCGTACCAGCTGTAGGCCAGCTCCTCCCCTGACAGCCCCCGGACGGCCAGCGTGACGTTGTCGCCCTGGGCCGGCTGGGCGGGCTCGGGGGTGATGGTGATCTCGGCACCCACATTCAGGAACACGGCTGAGGGAGGGGAGTCCACAGGGTCATGGGAGGCAGGCATGGCCCACTCCCCTGTTACCCCTAGAGAGAAAGATCCGGGCTCTCTCAGACTCCCCTCAAGTCTGTTTCCTGTCTCCCTGGGTGTCTGAGAGGGTTACGTGCGTCTCACGAACTTAGAACCAGGTCTTGTATGCAGTAAGGGCTTAATAAATGTCACCTGAATCTGATCCTCAGTGTGGTGCAGGATTGACTATGCCAAGGATCCAGCCCAGGGACTTATAAGGCAGGAGTACCTAGCAGGTGTATATGGCAGGTTATATGGCAGGTGTATATGGCAGGTGCACATAGCAGGTGTATATGGCAAGTTATATGGCAGGTGTATATGGCAGGTGCACATGGCAGGTGTGTACACCAGGTGTATATAACGGCTAGTATGAGGCCTCTGGTTGATGGACTGGATCCAGAGGGGTTTCTCTTGTTAAGAAGTGGAAAACTGAGGGTTCAGAGAGCCTCACACACTCACGTTGGGGTCCCACGGGAGACATCAGGGCCGGCCCGGGGGTTCCAACTCCCAGTTCAGTGCTTGCCTTGCTCCCTCAAGCCCGGTTATGGTGGCCAGTGGGGGTGGGAGAGGGTGGCCATGGCTGTGACCCTCAACGTGAGAGCCCCTCGCCAGCAGCTCCATCCCTACCAACCTATTTGCTCATCTGTGCCGGGAGGCCATGATTAGACCCCCTAACTCCTGGGGTTAGGAACGCACTGAGGACCATTTCACAGTTAACTAAAGCTGTGGGAGGGAAGGTGGCAGGCTAGTCTTCTATCTTCAGGGCGAGGGGTGGCCAGCGAGGCCTCACCCCAGGTGAGGTGTTGGCCTTCTGCCTTTCCCAGCTCACCCTGTCCCTGTCGTGTGGGGCTGCCCCACGTTGATGTCTTGGTGTCAGTGCCCCCTGGGCTCCTTTGCCCCCTGGGCTCCTGGCTCACACCTTCCCTCTCCGTATCCCACCCCCCGCCCCAGGCCCTGGGTAGGGTGTTCCAGGTGCTGGGCTGCTGAGTGTGGGTGGGTGGGTGGAGGCACCCTTGTTGCTCACCGCTGAGGAGGAGCCAGCCGCATCCGGTCAGCGCCATCTTTCACTCCGGGTGGGTCTCGGAGATGCTGGTGCTGGCGTCCTGGTGCTGGGGTGGGAGCCCGTCTTGGTTGGGGTTTGGCTGTGTCTGCCACCGGGCCGGAGAGGGTTCAGCAATTTGGAGCCTGGGAGGTCACCTGGACGTGGAGGGATTGAGTCACCAAGGACCTGGGGCCCTGTTTTGGGTACCAGGGTGGGTGTGGCGAACACCAGCCAAGGGCCACGACCCGGTCAGGCCTCCTGGGGCAGCTGCCTAACCCTCTTTGTGCCCAAGGCCTGGATTTGGTACCAAAGCAAGAACCAGGTCGCCAGAGAGGAGGGCGGGAGGGGGCAGCGGAAGATTCCTTAGCCTGTTCTTGGCTTGCCGTGGCTCCCTGGGTGAGACATGGGCCTGCGTGAGGTCTAGGCTGGTACACAGTGACCTACAGATGGCACCTCCGCGGAGGGTACATGGTCCTGCTGGGTAGGCACCTTTAGCACCCCCATTTGCAGATGGGGAAACTGAGTCCCTGGCTGGGACCTCAGGGCGTTTGGAGGCTGCTCTGTGTGTTGTCAAAAGGGGGAGGCAAGGCTGTCTCTGGGGTGCTGCTGCCTGCCAGCCCCCTGCAGAGGAGGGGGGTCCTGAGAAAACCCTGTGTTCCTTCCTGCCTCTTCCTCATCTGGGCAGTGGAGCTGGGGGGCTGGAGAAAACTGAGGTTTGTTTTCCTTCATTTTAAGAGACAACAAATGAGAGAGATCTCCCATCCTGCGATTCATTCCTTTCAAATGCTTGAAGCAGCCAGGGCTGGGCCAGGTGGGAGCCATGGGCTGCGAGCTCCACTGGGGTCTCCCAGTGGGTGGGTGGCAGGGAGCCACCTCTTGAAGCCGCCACTTGCTACCTCCCTGGGTGCCGCATCAACAGGAAGCTCGAGCTGGGAGCATGATTCGAACCCTGATCTGGGCTGCAGGTGTCTCCCGAGTCATCCCAACCTCCAGGACCGAGTCTGACCTTGACCGTGCATTTGGCTAAAACGGGGCTGGGGACAGCTCCCTGCCGGCATCGCCAGTGTATGACCCTGGAACATGCAGATGGCGTGCTTCCTGCCGCAGGCGCCCCAGGAGGCAGCTGGCCCGGGGCTGCTGGAGTTGGGGTCCCTGGCATGCAGGCTGGGGAGGGGGACATTCCTGTGTTCGATGCCCAGGCCCTCCCTGCACTTGGCTCCATCGTTCCCCTCCCAATAGAAGGGACAGGAATGGTCTCCGATTTTTGCCGCCCCAGGGCGTCCCGAGAGGAATGCCCCACAGTGACCCGGTGGGCGCCACTGTGGGTCAGTGAGTGCTCTTGGGAGGTGCTTAGGGAAATGCTTAGCACAGGGTCGGTGCCCAGTCAGCCACACGCCCGCTGGACAGATACGATGTGTACAGCCCTGCCGGCACCTGGGGAAGCAGGTGACGGACTCGGTGCACCAGCGGGCAGGGCTGGCATTCATGGGGTCAACAAGAAAAAAAAAATGCAGATTCTCTTCCGTCCCAGATGGCTGCACAAAGCCAAGAGAGGACGCTGGGCACTTTGGAGGGGAGTGAGGGTGAACGGGAGTGAGGGTGCATGGAAGGCGTCTCTCAGGCAAGGAAGGAGCGTCCATGACCGTGACCACCCATGACCGTGACTGCGCTTTGATGTCCCCTGGCTCCTGGGGCCTTGAGGTCAGGGCAGCCTGCTTCCAGGCAGGGGGCCATACCTGCCCTGCTTTGGTCTGCTGCTAGCATCGTGTCCTCAGCTGCCCCAGGGTGGCGAGGGGTGGGGAGGGGAGGATGTTCTGGCTCCCGCAGCTCCCCACTGCTGTGTGCGCACTCCACTGCCCTTGCCTGCCACCTGTGACCTGAACTCACCGTGCTCTGTCCTCCCCTGACCCCCTGCTCCCCCCCCAGTCCTGGGACCAGGTCCCAGTGATGACATTCAGGAAGGCGCCCCCGTGTCCCTGGGCACTTCTCACTCTCCTTGTCCTCAGCTGACCTCAGCTCTCCCAGAGGAGAGCGCCTCCCACTGGCTATCCCTGGGATGACTGGCCAGGACCTGGTCTCTGCGCTGGGCTCCCTCTTAACCACCTCTCCAAGGCCCACCTGCTGCAGGAGACCTCTCTTCCCCTCAACTCCTCCCTGGTCTCTGGACCTCCACATGGAAGATCAGGGGTCTTTCTTCCTGCCCCCTGTCTGGCTCCCCAGGGACCCAGTGTCCCCAGTGCTGTGGCTCAGGAACACCCTGCCCAGCTGAAGGTGCCTTGTGCAGCACCCCTTCCTCCTGGGTTCCTGTCTGTTCTGTCTCCTCTCGCTCTCCACCTGGCACCCCTGTTGGCTCTGTTTTAGTGCAGACCCAATTCCTTGTGCAGAAGGCCCTCCTGGATCGCCAGGTGCCAGCCCCCTCTGGACCCTCTGGCCCATCTCCGATCACCCTGGGTTCTCATTGTCTAGGGATGTGGCTGTCTCCGCCGCTGTCCCAGGAGCCCCAGGAGGATGGGCTGGGCTGTCCCCACTGTGTCCCCAGCCCTGCCTGGCACAGCGTCCAGCACAAAGGATGTTTGTGGAATCAGACACCGGGTGTGGGTGACACAAAACACCTGGAGCTCCCCTGAGACCCAGGTTCCTGGCGATGGACAGAGGCCCCGGGTAGAACCAGGTTTTTTTTTTTTTTTTTTTTTTTGGTGTGCGTGGCTATGTCATGGTTCCCTAGCATCCACGTGGGACCTCCCAACCTTGCTGCTTGCTACCCTATCCAGGTCGCCCCCACCTTCCATCTGCCCAGCCCCTGCTCCTGGACCTGAGCCTGGGTCCTTGGTCCAGCTGGGGCTTGCTGGGCCGCATGGGAAGGAAAGTAAGTGGCTGTGGAGGGAGCTCGCGTCCTCTGTGAAGTATATGGTGGGCGGCCATGGTCTCGACCTCCTGGAGACCCCTCTGAGGGTGACAGCAGGTGCACGCACGGATGGGGCATGGATGAGGCAGGGCGGGAAGCTGTTGTCCAGTCACGGTTTGATACTTGCTGACTGAGCACCTGTCACATGCTGAAAATGGGGCATGGTGCTGAGGTTATCATCAGCAGTAGGGTAGACGTGGAGCTGGCCTCCAGGACACGGGGGACCTCGGGAAAATGCAGGAGACAGTGCTCTGAGGAGGATCAAATAGAGGGATCGCAGCAGGAAGACGCGGTGGGAGGGGATGCCGGAGTTGGGACTGAATGAGGGACAGTGATGGGGAGGGGGGTGGTCCAGGCAGGCAGTGCCATGGCCTTGGAGTAGGGGTGTGCTATGCTGGAGACATGATGGGCTGAGGAGAAGGGACAGTGGGGAGGGGGGTGCCCTTCAGGCCCGTAGGCAGCCTGGGTAGGCTGCCTGGATGGGAAGGGACGGGAGTCGCCTCTGGTTATGGTATGAGCTTCCAGCTGCATGTGGCGGGGGAGGCCGCCGCCTGGGCCCCTTGGCCGCTGTCCCACATGGTGGCGGAGCCGGGAAGAGCTGAGGGTACCGATGAGCCCGGGGGAGGGTGAAATGCAGGATGCCACCTCTCCTGCACCAGCTCGGGGGCTAAGTGGTCCTTTTCCCTGCTCCGTGGTACCTCGTGGGAGATGAGAACATTACATTTCTTTTTCTCTTTTGGTGAAGTATTTGAGAATTGACAGAGCAGGCGAAATGACCATTTAGCCCCCGAAGCTGATGTGACTCCCCAGATGGTTACAACAGCCAGGGCTTGGCCAAAGCTGGTGCCCCATGGGGAAGGCAGGTGCCTCCCAGGGTGGGCCTGGCAGGCAGCTGGGATGGCAAGCAGAGCAGGCATGGCATGAGGCAGGTGGCCTGTGTCCTCCCTGGGGCACGGTGCTGACCGCCCTCCCTGCAGTGTCTCTCCCAGGCCCACAGCTGCGTGGCCTGTGTCCACATGGCACGGACCCTTGTCTTGGGGGATGGCTATGGGGGAGGGAGAGCAGGGGCGTGGCATGCAAGAATACCTTCATTCTGCACCGCCACTAGTTGGAAGCTCTTTCCTTGCCACAGTGCAGGGCTGGGTGTGTGGTCAGGGACCCCAGTGGGCGTATGTGCCACTGCCTGGGCTGGCCTGGCGAGGCCTGGGGTTTACCATGTGCCCTTCGCCCCACATTCAGGCTCCCGTGCCAGAGCGGGCAGGTGAGCCGGAGAAGCCAATGTAAGGTCCCTCTTTCCCCCACCCAGCCCCAGGCCACTCCCTTGGCCCCGATCCCTGAGCCCGCCCCGTCCCGCCCCATCCTGTGGCCCCTTTCACCTGGGGTTTTCCAAGTCATCGGATCCCTGCACAAATATTGACTGAGCGCTGACTGGCGGGTCAGGAGCAGAGCTGGGGGGTGCGGGGAGATGGGGCCTCGGGCAGCCTTCCTCTGGCGGGGTAGTTATAAAGTAGATGAGTGGGTGTTGTAAACAATGCGATAGGGAGGAGGTGTTGGTATACGGTCTAGGAAGTGCAAAAACCCCCGAGTCAGCTGGAGGGTGGGGACGGACGGCTCTGGGAAGGGTGCGGGCAGCTGGGTTGATCAGCCTCAGCGGCTGGGCTGCACCGGACCAGAGGGACAGAGTGAGGGAGACGGGAGCAGCAGAGAGCCAGGACTCTCCAGCCTCCCACTTGCCCTAAAGAGGCCAGCAGTGCTTGGCATGGATCCTGGCCAGGGGAGTCTCTCTTGTCTCAGGATCTCACTTATCCCATCTGGAAAATGGGCAGAAATGCACAATGCCAGATAACCCGAGTGTGTATGTGTGCGTCCGTGCTGGTTCAGTGCACACAGCGTCCCGTCACGGCCGGCTGGTTGCTGCCTGTGCAGAAGGCTGCTTGTGTTTGCCTCAAATCCTGGGATCCCAGCGTCCTTGCAGCGGAGCGCCCGAGTCTCCGGGCGTGGCCTCCCTCAGCGTCTTGTACACTCATCGGTGGCATGCAGAGAAAACGATAGTTTCTTTGCGTGCCCCGAGACTGTGGGTTTGAATTTCCGTCTCACAAGTGTCACGGTGATTA